TCTTATTAACTTCTTTTCTGTATTATTGAACTTGCTGTTTGTATGTTGCTGGCTGCAACGTCCATTCTCTGAGCATTCGGTTCCGAAGACAAAGGAGAGACGTCCATTGCGATGCTTTACTCTTCTCTTAATGTGTTCTTCTGGATAGAGGAATGCCAGGAATCTTAATCCTTGCAATAATATGCCCCGTGTATCCATGGATACAGACGATATCTAGCTACAGGAATATAAAAACGTGGCAGCTAATGCAGAAAATATATATATAACAACAACGTTCGGATATCAGGGAAAAAAAAGAAAAAAAAAAAAATTCAGGCCGAAGAAAAGCCCAACAAGTTGAAAAGCCAAGGAGAGAACAAGTGCACAAAACAAACAACAAAAAGGACCATACATTGCTATTCGACAACACCTCTCAACCACAAGATTTACTTTATTCCGCCTTAACGCCCTTACCCCTCAACTTATCCCTTACGGCAACGACCCTGCCCAAAATCTTCGCTTTGATCCCACTCTCCGGCGCCTCCTCGGCAGCAACAAGGCGACGAACAAGAACATTGAAAATGCTCCCGAACGCCAGCGCCATGACCGAACTCGTCAATATGATCACGTTGTACGGCATGCTGAAATCGGGGGTAGGGAGAGGCAAGAGCAGGCCGGTGGTGCGCAGGTATATCGGTGGCTGTGAGTAATTTTCCTTTGTCTGGTTCTTGTTATCATTGTTGCTAGTCCCAAGCAATCTGATAACTGCCGGAGCTACGTTGAATCCTCGGTTGGCGTCAGGTGGGTATTCAGTATAGCGGAGGATGGCCTTTTCGAAGTCGTACGTCAACGTTACAGTTGAGGTGTGTGGTACTGAGAGGATGAGTTCTAGTTGTGTGCCGCGCTCCCGATCGAGGGCCGGGCGGTAGAAGATTTCCTTGATTATCTCTGAGGGTGGGATCTGGATGACCGTCCCATTTTGGCTTGTCACTTTAGGTTGTAAGGTATGTACATATGGGCGCATGAACCAGGGAAGAGTCTCGAAATAAATGAACTCGACAGGATTGGTTTGGGAGGGGTTGGTTAAGATTGATCGCATGCCACCTCTTTCTTGCCCGTGGCCTATTATGGTCCTTTCTGCTTGCAGAATAGGCTGTTCCAAGGGTATTCCGGGATCTAGTGACGTAGACGGTACAACTAGATCAAATGGAAAATCATCAAGGAGGGAGTAACAGCGGGTAAGGCCATCAGGATCCATCCTCTCGATTGCCCCCGCAGTTACTAATACCTCCCTATCGTTCGGGATCTTGATGCACACGTGTTTTCTTTTCTTTTCTTCTTCTTCTGTAAGTGGGCATGCACCCGGGATGTTACTTCCAAAGACTTCTGATAGTCGCCAGCCTTGATTTGCGCTGTTGCCAACCGGGTAGCAAGTGTCATCAGAGTTATATGGTTTGGATTCATCGCAAACTAATTGCTCAGCAGGGACAGGACGTGGAATAGGATTATCTTTGATGTGCACGTATGTATTAGTTAACGTAATCAAAAAGCTGGTTCAGTTGAGGGTAAAAGTGAGCACTCACCTCTGGGTCTTTTCGATCTTTCCACGTCTAACACCATATCTACGGTCTGCTCTATCTCAACATGGCACCTATCTGCATCCTCAAGACAAGTGGGTCGGACATCAATTGCCATGCTTTGCCAAGAGGCATCAAATAGCCTATGACCATCAAGAAGGCTAGCTATGCCCGCTTTCCCTTTGCAGGGCAGAAGTTTCAAAAATGGTGTCAGGTTCTCCGTGCACACCACCTCTCCTGGTAGTGTTCCATGTAGCAGATGTAGATGTCCCGATGAGTGGTTTCCCACAGGCTCAAACGTCACTACAGGTCGAGTCGTTCGAGTGGAATCAATGAAGTTCAAGGACGCGCAAAATAGTCCGGAAAGGGATTGCGTAAGAGTAACCCATTTGGCATACGCTCTGGTTATATTATAAATTATTACTAGTTCATATGCTGATGACTTCGCCACGGATTATCCTTAAAACTCACGCAACATTGGTATCCGCATCTATCCATGCCCACAATTCGACACCAGTGCCGCCTTCTTTAAAACCCTGCCAGGGACGCTCACCCCAACTCTCTGCATCCCATCGCCCTGTCGTGAATCTCAAATGTAGCTCCTTCGTGCTCGCATGCTGGAGTATCTGGCCTAATGATCTTGGGAAATAGCGGAAATTCTGATGCTCGAAGGCTTCTGTTAACGTATTGCTGCGAAAGTTAAACGATGCTAAAAGAGAGGACGGAGGTAGAGGTCGTAGGACTAATTGTTCATGGTACTCCGATGCAGCGGAAGCAGATGGTAACAGCAATGCAAGGACGATGCAAAGGAAAAGAAAAGAATTGGAAATCATGCCGTCATGTTGCAACAGACTGACAACGCAAATTTTGCGGGCGATTGTAGTAGTTGTCTCTGCTCAATGCAGAGGATAGAATATCTGATGAATATCATGTGATCGCGATTAAATTTTAAGGTTGAGCTAATATCGGCTGTGCTAGCGCGATAGACGACTTAAACCAAGACGTTGATGGTATCCATGTTCCTTCACAATAATTAATCACGAGAACACAATAGAAGAATTGAACCCTAGGGAGTATTTTAACCACAGAAACCTTCCATGCTAACTGCCTACCCATTGTGTCAGATATTCTATTGTTTACCGTGAACAAAAATTTCACTACGCTGGTTCAGGCGGAGAAACCAACCCATTTTTAACCATGGCGGCGGAGCAGAGGAAACTGCTGGAGCAGCTGATGGGCGGTATGTTCTTCCACTGTCCTTCTTTGCTGTATAACTATACATGAGGATGACTAACCAATTCATACAGCGGAGCAGATGATGGGTTTTGGCAGTTCACGCAATTCTCAAGTGGTAATAACTGACCCGAAAGTTTGCCGCTCCTACCTCGTCGGCACATGTCCTCACGACCTTTTTACAAATACCAAACAAGACCTAGGCCCCTGTCCGAAAATACACAGTGAGGGACTGAAAGCAGAGTATGAAGCTGCATCAGCGCATGAAAAAGCAAAATGGGGCTTCGAGTACGATTACCTACGCGACATGCAGAAATATATCGATGACTGTAATCGGAGGATAGACTCGGCGCAACGACGGTTAGAGAAGACGCCAGATGAAATACGTCAGACAAACAGTTTGGTATATCAACATCCCCTTATTCTCCTTCCATACCTCTTTTCGCGATACCTCCTCCGACCTAGAGATAGCTCTCCACTCAGTCGTAAAACTCAAACTAACACCTTCTCATCCAGCTAAAACAAATATCCGACCTCTCCAAATCCATAAACAACGGCCTTCTCGAAGTCTCTATTCTCAGTGAAATGGGCTCCGTCTCCACTGCCCTGAACGAGTTCCACAGAGTCCGCACGGCAAAACACCATAAGGAATCTTGCGAGCGTGAACTCAAAACCCTTTCTGACACCTCTGGACCTTCGGGCCATCAAAAGCTACAGGTATGCGATGTGTGCGGCGCATATCTCAGTCGTTTAGATAACGATCGCCGTCTGGCAGATCACTTCTTTGGCAAGATGCACTTGGGCTATGCGAAGATGCGCGAGACTTATAATGTCTTGCAGAAGGAGTTGAAAGGACTTCCACCTTCCAGGCATGATGATGGGCCCCCTGCTCGTGGTGATTATGATAATGAGGGTGGATGGGGGGGTAGAGCTGGTGGAGGCCGAGGGTCGTATCGGACAGGTGGCGGGGGAGGTGGTTATAGAGGGTTCAAAGGTAGAGGGGGAGGGGGGAGTTATGGGGGACGATGGTAGAAATATTGGCTACATACTTATCCTTAATCCGACTGAGGAAAATTTGCATAGCGCTGGCGTTAATGGTTTGGTTATGGTAATCGCCAGGGGTTTTCTAGTCTTTACTTGCTTCTATGTTACCTTAACCCACAACAAAACCTATGTCCTTTATATGATAAATTGATATTTCATATCATCCTGCTCTGATATCCACCGGTGTATTTTTTGTCTCTCCATTGATTTTCTTGTTCCATGCGACCCCGCAGAATGATGTGGTAACATCCAGCGTAGCCACACATTTTAGCCACACAAGATTTTATGTCGGTAGCCTGGTTGTTATCAGAAAGAGCACACCCCTTCTTTCAGCTTTCAATTCCATTCAGAATATGTATTACATGGAATTATGTATTATAGTCGTTAGCGCTGGAACATTTTACGTTTACAACGTAAATATATATTTCCGCTCGATGCAAGGCCGCTCTACAAGCACACACCACATAAATTGGATTCAAAGCCCGGACTTCTTCAGATCGACAAATGACGAGACCATTTTCAAAACTTCCATTATGTGGTAGAATAGCTGCCTAGCTTTTAGGAACAAGGAAAAGAACCACGTATCTGCTTTGAAATACACATGTAAATATTTAATGTACACGAGACAGAAAATGGCGAACACTGCAGAATAACTATTTGCACAAACACGGCTAAAACTGGGTAAATAAAAGTGTGCAAAAAGAGGTGGATAAATTGGAGAAAGAAAAGAAAGGGGATGGGAAGAAACAATAGCACCGCAAAGAGCATGACCACATGATGTTTTAACTCCCAACGAGAATTTGTCAGTCTGACCAGGGTGGAAAGAGGATGAAAATAACAAAGAAGAAAAAATATCCTATGAAAACAAGTCAAATTAGGCATGGTGGAAACCCCAATAAGCAAAAGCAAACGTGTCGGTGAAAAGTCATAAAAATAACAAAAGGCCGATTAATTACAGAAAAGTATGCGTTGGGGCTCCATTGAATAAAAAGAGCAAGTTAATTCACCTGTCCATTTTTAAGAGATAACTATTAAAAAGAAAACATTGTTTGACAAGCACCTTGGTTTGATCCATACACACGCACAATTTAAATCACTGCTGACAAGAGAGAAAATTTGACACAAGTAACAAATACTGCGTAAAGAGTGACAATTGCCCAATGAATTTTACTGAGCCTTCCCATTTGTATTCTCGACAATTTTTGTTATTAGCAATTGATAATCGTTGGCCGCAGCGGGGTTCTGGTGCAGGATACCCGCGATAAGGTTGAGTTGCGCCATGTCTGAATTTGGCGCTTGTTGCAGTAGCTGTTCCACCGCTGGGGATGTTGCTAATGGTCCGAGCGCTTGGGCGGCGGCAGCTTTGCCGGTGAGGTTTTCAGGGGCAGGGGGAGGTGGTGATGGTTGAGAGGCTGAGGCAGAGGCTAAAACTGGAGCTGGAGCTGAAGGGCTATATTGATGTGGGTGAGGTTGTGGTTGTGATTTTTGTTCGCTGACGCCGTCCGTCTTTGGGATGCAAGGGCCTGAGGCTGCTGCTGCGTTGGCAATAACGGTTGGCATATTATTTGACGTGGTCTGCGTGGTGATAAATTGAGATTGCTGTAGAGGCCCTTTTGGTGTAGCCGTCAGGGGGCTGGCAGTGGTATAGGCGGGTTCCGTGGCTCGCGGGCTGGAGTAGTTATTGGTCTTGACCACGAAGACAACAAGGAGGGTCCGCTCAGGGGTAGGGTCCTCAAGGGTATTGTTTTCCAACAACTCGATGAATTCGGGTTTCTTGCTGTGGCCTGCTTCGATGGGGACGATGTAGGTATCCTTGACGGCGGGGAACGGGTGTTTGCCAATGACGCCAAACCGTTTGCGTTGAAGGAAATAGTCGAATATTTTTTGAAATTCCACGTTATCGTGTGATGCTACCGGAGGAGAAATTGCCGTTACGGATACATCTGTCGTCTGGCTAAAGCGGAGACCGCAGAGGTAATTTGTTGCCAGCTGCGTTTCAATGCGGCCATCTATCACCAGAGTGGGTGGGATTAATTTCCCCCAAGGGATCTTTCCGCTAAGGTCTGCTCCAGCGACGTGTTTGGCAGTAGCTGAAAAATCCGCAACAGGGTTCATGGACACTTTGCCGCTCCAAATTGCGCCATCGCCATGGAAATCCTTTGGCGAGTAAGGCGGGGACTCGACGTCTTCGTCTTTGAGCAATTGATCAATTTCTGCATCAGGTTGGACCTTGTGAGTCGGTGGGACTCCTCGCTGTAATGGCGTACCGTGGGCAAACGACTTATCATGATGCATGGACCCCGGTGATTGGATATTGGACCAGACGTCTTGTATGTTAAAGGTTGCGCTGGAGGCACGCCGTTGCTCCGAAATGGAGCTATCGATCGTGTGAGGCCGCTGGTGGCCCACAGTACGATCCATTGAGCCACGGTATTCCCTGAATTCAGGTTGTTGTACAACACCTGGGCTGGCTGGTCGAGCTCCAATGGAGCTCGTTGCGGAATGAGGTTCGCCGTCGTAGGTGTCGCGACGAGCTGGAGCAGCAGAGAAGATAGATTCTGTCGCACCAAGCTGAGTATCGTCTTCGATCAACTCCTCTCCCTTATGTGTACGTCTGATACGGGGGCCTTGTTCTTGGACAATAATGTGTTGTCGCTCAGCCTCTCGTTTGATTTCATCATCCTTTTGCCGCAGCTCCTTGCTAGCCATGTCATGAGTGCTCATTGTGGAGAGCGCGTCTGGAGAAATACTTCCTACAAGCAGACTATCACGTAACGAAGTATTCTTCCTTACATTGAATAGGATGGTCCGCATCTGTTGCTTATAGGCTTCACTAGGTTCTCCCGTTCCCCCACTGAGATGTTTATACATGGCATGTTCAATTGCGAGTCCCAGTGATTCACCAACTGTTTCCTTTGTCTGCCCAGGCGGCATAGTAAACGTGCCTTGCTGCTGGGCCGACGCTGCCTGTTCTACGAAGAGTTTGACTAGGGCATTTGCCACATTCCTTCTGGGTACGCTCTGAAGCTCTGACGGGCTTCCCACCCCCTCAGCGGGTGACCCTCCAACTTTCTGTTCCTGAGCAAAATGTGCACTAGATGCGCTAGATTTCCGATGCACAGTCGGGGAGCTCTCCTCGGACGCCGCGATTGGGCCACCCGTGGACAATCGCTGAAGTTTCTGTTTCGGTCCCTGAATTGGTAATATTAGTATACCGTAAATCAATGCATGATCAGAATAGGTACATACCGGATCACGTTGGCTAATTTCCTGTTCATCAAACTTGCGTTTTTGGGCGCTGGGAGGGCCTTGGCTAGGAGGCGGGGGAGGCGGGAGAGCTGGAGGGCTAGCCTGATTACTGTCGGGGGGAGCAGGAACAGGAGTCTCTTTGGCTGGGGTTGCGGAGGCACTCTTCGCAGCGTCCTCACAAACTTCTGACTTGATATCACTAGACCGAGCGTACTTCCCTTCCTCGTTTGCCACCCTTCTTCTTTCGCGCCTTTTTCTCCTCCGCAACTAGAGCTCTTAGCTTCGCAACCTCCTCCCATGGTTTCTCGCCGCGGGCCATCTTCTCCAAAAGTACCGTATGACTTTCCGGCTTGCATTGTTCGCAGAAATACTCTGCTGGCTCTTGTCCCTTGGGAAAGGTGAGTCCCATGCAATCGTTGTGTTGCCATGCTGAACATTTGTCACAGCATATCATATCTCGTTCCACGTCTTCTTCCTCTTCATATTCGCCGCAGATGCAGCGGATTATCTCATCCTCCTCTCCGTTGGCGGCAGGACCGGGCTCATTTGATGTTTGTTTCTGGGATTTCCCCTGTGACTTCCCCTTGCGTTTCGTGGGCGCCATTTCAGGGAGATCTTGATTTTTGGTATGTTGGCCTTTTGTCGCTCGGCCTGAGCGTCGTGGTTCATCTGCTGAAAGGACATAGGAGTTAGCTTTAAGTCCAAAGTACACAGCGACATTTGCCAGCTGTGCGCATATCTGACCAATGCTCATCAACCGAAATTGATGGTGAGCAAATACACACAAAACGCACAGCCAGGATACATAGGCTTACCGGCCATAATGTGGTAGAGGACACGCGTAAATATAAAATAGACTACAGTGAATTGAACAGTTGTTGAGAAGGTTGATATTGCTGATTTGTTTGAAAGCAATGGAATACCAATTTTGCCTCTTGCTCTACGGCATCGACGGTGCTAGTAATACACAAGATAAAATTGAAGACCTGAGCAATAGCAGCTTTTGAGAGTGCCTCCGCCAGACTGGAATTACTCCTCCACCAAAACGTTGAGCAAATTGGTTTGTAGTTGTTGTTATTTTGTTGCCTCTCTGCTGAAATATGGTAGTTCACGCGTAATACTCCGACAAGCAGGGAGTTTAATCAGGGGTGACGATGGAAGTGAAGTTGTTTGCCAAGTTTCAGTCTCTGGATTCTGCGCAACAGAGAACCATCCAGAAATCGTGTCAGACAGACCTTCCCAGCCAAACTGCAATGTTCCTGAGTAACTAGACTGATGGAGCAGAGATGTGCAGAGGGTTGGGTGATGTCGGATGTCGTTGCATTGGGAAAGTTTGTTGCTGTTGAATTGCGATGCGCATTTGAGGAGAATGGTTACGTAAGTCACTTCACGGAGAGGCTAACTAGGCCTAATATAGCTAGTCTTGGTTTTGAAGGGGAGAAACGGATTAACTGTTGCCCCGGCGGCTAGTTACCGGCCGATGTATTACATACGTACCAAAGTCTTACGATCTCGCAGTATTTAAATTAGGCCGAATGGGGTACTAGTGTTTGTATCATGTGACTAACCTTGTAGCTTTGATGTAACGCCCGCAAATTAACCCTTTGTTATTCGATAAACTACTACAGTAATATTCTGCACAGTATCTGAATATACTATGTTTATCGGCCATTTAAATAAATATATTGACTCTTCCAATCTGAAGGCACGCGCCGTCGCGTCATGGCAGATATTCGCTCCTTGCTCCGCAACGAGTTGGCCTCTCGTCAAGCAGATAGCTCGGGAGCTTCTACTGCCAGACGAACTAGGAAACGGAAACTCGATTTGGGGAAACAGGATGGCGTCCGCAAAAAATCAAGGGCCGAAGAACAACATACTGTGCAGGAGGAAGCTCAGTGGCGCGGTCAATCTGACGAACATGAAGATATTGAAGAAATGGCCCTGGATACATCGATAACAGCCGAACCTCTAAAAGGCAAAGAAGATCAAGATCAAGACCAAGAACAAGAAGAAGAACAAGAGCCGGACGAAGAGTACACTGCACTCCCCTCTGAACATTCACCACAACCCACCGCCCGCACACAGACAGAGCTACAACCCCAAGTTATCGACGAGGACGAATGGGCCGCATTCGAGCGTGAAGTTGCTGCACCTACAAAGATCCCCACTGCCCCACAGCCATTTTCCGTGATGTCCGGTGCAGCTACGATTTCCGCAGCACCACTATCTGCCGCTGAGCTTGCCGAAAGGGAGAAGATGGATCGGGAGACGCAGCTGCGGAATCGCGATATGGAAACGTCATTTGAGAAGGAGGATGCGGCTAGGTTTTTAGAGGAGGAGCTTGATGAGATGGATCAGTTGGAGGAGAGGGTTCGGCGGCTAAAGGAGAGGAGGGAGGAGATTCGGAGGCGGAGGGTTGGGGAGGGGGTGGGTGGTGGGGTTGTTGGAGGTGTGGAAATAGTGGAACGGGAGGGGTTAGAGGAAGATGTGAATACCATTGAAAAAGCTGGGAGCGATGATGATGAAGATGAAGATGAGGAAGATGAAGATTGGGATAACTGGCGATTTAGATAGAGAGGGGAACCAAGGAAATGCTGCATTTTGGATGTGCTGTTGTTGTATGCAAACGCATATTGGTTCTAGTTCATGTGATATATTTTGATGATACCCTTGATTATGAACTTCTCTTTTATATTCTTTATACATGAAATATCAAGCTGATAATAACCGAAGCTGCAGAATTTGATTGGCATCTCATGATGAAATAAGTTTATCTCTGTAATACCTACGTCCTGCCTACGTCTCACCAGCCCCAGGACGACTCCCAGATGCCATCATCCCAGTCTCCAGATGACTCTTCAACCCCTCCTTGCCAACCCTCATCGCCATCTCGATCTCGTCTTCTCCCTGCCTCAGCATATCCCTCCCATGCATCAGGGCTCCCTTTTGTTTCCGCTTCTGCTCCTGAACACGTAGCTCCCGCTCAACAAGCGCTTTCTCCCGCTTCTCCCTGTCAGCTCGTCGTTTGTCACGTTCCATCTGTTCCTCCGTAGATATGCCTTCCGGTTCAGGAGCTGGGGACAATGTTGATATATATGCTTCGATTAGAGGATCGCGAATTTCTGGTGGTAAGGAGATGTATCGAAGGTCCGTGAGGATGCTGGCAGGTAGCATGTCTGGTGTCGACAATTTGTTGAGAGCGTGTAGGGGAGTAGACTTTAGGAGAGTGGATAGATCTGATTTTCGAGTGGCTTCCGGAAGCTTGAGGCGTGGTATATGATCGCGGTAAAGTTTTTCCCTGTCTTTATCTGATAGCTGAATATCCTTCATTTCAGGGTCTTTTCTATATTTGCGCTTGAATTCAGGCCAGTACAATTTCGGCGTCGCATGCTCCTGTAGAAACGCCAGGTATCTGATTCGAGGGTCCTTCTTTACTTCTTTTTCTCTTCGTTCCTTCAGTTCTTGCATCCGGTCGCGGCTCCACTTGGACCACGCCTCCTGTCGCGATTTCATATTGGGGAGTATGGTGTACCTCGCATCGTCAATTATTTTACCCTCTTCGATGATTTTCTCCCAGGGGGTATAGGGATTTATTCGGAAATCATCAAGAAGGTCGCGGAAAAGCGCCGTTGAGTCTTCTTCCGTTAGTGGCAGCCCTTCTGCCCCTTCTTCCCATCCTTCCTCTCCAGGTTCTCCGTACTCTCCTGGATCTAGTCCATACTCCTCGCCCATGGCTGCGAGCTGGTATTCAATATCATCTTCGTTGAACTCAATATATCCAGGCTGGTTTGCATTCTCCCCTTCGGTTCTCAACCTTTTGGATTGTACATCCTCTCCTTCTCCGTCCTCGGCTTCGTCATCGGTGACCTCAACCTCCTCATATTCGTCACTATCTTCCTCCTTCCTCCCATCTGCTTCGTTTGCAACAGATGCTGACCGCCCCCATTCCAACGACACCCTTTTGGAGCCTCTGTCCTCTTCTTGCTCCTCCTCACTTAATTCCCCCCTCTCCCGTCTTTCTTTTCTTTCCCTCTCCAGACGATCGTACTCAATCACACCTTTCAAAACATCCTGCGGAAATTTCCAAAAGCTCTCATTGGTGTCGGGGTTATGAACAAACCGACGACCTAATTTTGTTTTTACAAGAACCCACGGCTCGCATCCGGGAATTATATGCTTGGATTTCGGTCTATCCTCAAGGTGGCGGGGTCGTCGAACCTGCCGTCGTCCGTCTCCCGCGCCGTCTCTGCGGAATTTATCAAAACTGTCTGCGATGTTAAAAGGCAGGCCTCCTCCCTGTGGTACTGGATACCCGAAACCCGGAGCAGGGCCAACTTGAGGATGTGCTGGGAATCCGAAAGCACGTCGGGGAGGGAGTGCTGCCGCTGGCTGTAAGCCTGCGGGGACTGCAGGTCTTCTATACGTTGACTGCTTTGTTTCCGCATTGTAATAATACAGATGACCTTAGGCAATTAATTAGAACTACGTCTGGGTACCTGTGGTATTTGCGCCACGTCATTGTTCGTAAGACGTACCTGATGGAGCTTTGTGCTCCGTCCATCCTGGAGGGAGAGGATTCAAAGACGAATAAGTAGACTTGAGCATCTTGGTCACAAATGCTCAGTTATCCTAGCCGTGTATTATGAAAGTTGTTATCATTAAACAGCGCTGATATAATTTGTTGTGGGAAGAATAAAAATGATATGTATTAGGGAGTCCTGGATGATGGAAGGTGTGGTCCAAGCTTCTTGCTGCGGTTGGACGCATGAGGCGAGTTTGCCTGGAAGCTAAATAAGAGCAACGACAACTGTTATATGCAACACACAGACCGGACAACGGACAATAGACCAACCACGCTGTGTTCAACTTGGGAGTTATTCTACATATTTGCCTCTCAATTTACCATATTGATTCCAGTCAATATGTCGAGAAGATATGATTCCAGGGTAAAGTGGTCTCTCCCTCTGCTCTCCATCCTGCCAGCCACAGCTTATTAACAAACGAGTCCGCAACTTGAACAGACTACGATCTTCTCCCCCGAAGGCCGCCTTTACCAGGTCGAATACGCTCTAGAAGCCATCTCGCATGCAGGAACAGCCCTTGGGATACTAGCACAGGATGGAATCGTGCTGGCCGCAGAGCGGAAAGTCACCAGCAAGCTCCTGGAACAAGACACATCTGCGGAGAAGCTCTATATACTGAACGAGTATGGTTGGCTTCCTGACAATCCACCCATCCACCCATCCGAATCTCAATGGATACTAGCACGTAGGAGACCCGATAATTGACCTATTCGCAGTAACATGATATGCGCCGTGGCTGGGATGACGGCTGATGCCAACATCCTCATCAACTACGCCCGCCAAGCCGCTCAGCGCTACCTCCTCACATACAACGAAGAAATCCCGTGCGAGCAACTCGTCCGTCGCCTTTGCGATCTGAAACAGGGCTATACCCAACATGGTGGTTTGAGGCCGTTTGGCGTCTCGTTCATATACGCCGGGTATGACCCGCTCCGGCACTTCCAGCTTTACCAGAGTAACCCCAGCGGCAACTATGGTGGATGGAAGGCGACGAGCGTAGGTGCCAACAATGCTAGTGCCCAGAGTCTGTTGAAGCAGGACTATAAGGAGGATTGCGACTTGAAGGAGGCTTGCGGAATGGCTGTGAAGGTGCTTAGCAAAACTATGGACTCTACGAAACTGAGTGCTGAGAAGAGTGAGTCTGACATATTTACATGGATTCCTCCATTGGTTCCCCTTTTGCTTTAGCCTGATTTTGTTAGACAAAAATAACCAACTGACTACGATTTTTCCTATGCCATTAGTTGAGTTTGCGACGGTAGGAAAAACTAAGGATGGGACGATATACCACCACCTCTGGGGAGCCGATGAGATCAATGCTCTGCTTAGGGAGCATGGGCTAGCTAAGGAAGGGGATCAAGAAACCGGATAGGTGGCTGAGACGGAGTTCCTGATGATAACCTCCGGACGAGTGCAGAGTGCCGTATTAATCCAACATCTTAGATGTGTGCCATGGCGTCGGATGTGAGATCCCATCTGCGTGTCTCAAGATACCCGGATATTGTTCAGCTAGCGGTTTAAAGCAAACCAATTTACATAATTTCCCACTTGGGGACATTGAATAGCTATGCATTCATGACTTCTCTCTTGTTAATATGTGATCCATGATCCATGATAATGATCAATGCATAGTTTATTTAAAGCTACAAGCAATAATACGGCTCCCTTCAGCTTGGGGAAGCTCACCTAGACTCGAAGTCTTGTAGTGAGATTAGTGATCACGGCTCATGAAAGTGGACGACCACCCGTGGATGGTCCTGTGATTTCCTACTGCTGAATGCCACTAGTTACATGTGACCGCGTCGCTTACGTACGCTAGAAGCGCGGCTAACCCCGTACTAAGTCCTTCGCAGGACAGGCGTAACCCTTGTCCCCAGCCCCTCCCTTGTTCCGCACCACCTACCAACATAACAGTAAGTCTGAACATGAACAGTTATGTTTATATCAATGTCTTCCAAGGTTTGGATCCTCCGGAAACTCTTCAGCCTATGTGATTCCGTCTCTCTTTAGCCGCTCTCGGTTATCTACCGCCGGCTTTACCCCCCATGTCGGCTTCTTTCGCGTTAGCTGCTCCATATTTGGGCAATTATGGGCTAGCTACAGCTACAGCCCCTTGAACCCCCGTCCATAACCTCACCCGAAGGGAGACAGAGCGCTTAAGGGTTGTCACATTGAATTCACGAATAATTCGGTGGAAAGATATTGACTTGACAAATTCATTGGCAAACAAGAACTGTTGATCAAAGGGGACTCAAACACTAGGCCCAAATCCCGATCCCCGGCTGTCTTGTTACATTCTCCCTGCACCCATCCAACTCCCACCATTACTACTGCTACTCCTACTACTTCTTCTACTATTTGCGGCCCCCACCACAGGTTGTGTTGTGGAAATCCATGACCTGAGGTGGATAAACTAGCAAAATAAATGCCCGGAATCATTAAAAACAAGTGGATATTATGAAAAGCAATTGAATCGTGAAACATGAAAATGTGTGCTACGACAAAGGAAAAAGGGGTGCTGTCCGGCTTTGTTCTTCTTCCCTCCTCTTTGCCCCCGCTTCGCTTTCCATCCCTCCGGCTGTGGCTGGAGCCTCCCGCGCCTCCTTTCTTCCAGACACCATTACTTGCCAAGGCTGAACTTTTTGTGTCTCCTCTCAAACTCCAATTGATTGATCTCTTTCTGCAGATCGGCGATTTGATCTCTTGATTTTTCCATTGATGCTTTCAGAGTGGAGCCTTCTTGGATCCATCGTTGCAGTCGGCCTATTTCTGTATTAAGTCGGCGGGTTTTGATGTCGATTTTATCGCACAGTTTGCATTTGGTGCCGACGGGTTCCGTGTTATGCACAAGCCTCATGCCGCATGTTTCTCCCATTCGGTATTCATGGTTGCACCTGGCTGCAAAATTACCCCATGCCCAGTCTCCGCAGGTGAACTTTTTCTGGTCATAAAAGCACATGGCTGGCAAACGGATCAGCAAACATAATCAATCATAAAGCTCCATTGCTGCTTACCTGCTTGCGTTCTGTTTGAATGTGTTTCAGAATATTGAAGCGTTGCTATTGGTCGCCGAGTGGGGCCTTTTCTGAAGACTGGAATCGATAGGCTGAGCGTTTATGGCTGAAGAACTTGAGCTTAATTGAAGAGAGGTTTGTTTGAGGTGTTCTATGTGAATTCAATTGAATTCAATTGAATTTGTTGATTCGCAATTGTGTGCTAAAGGCTATTTGTTTGAGACTGAGGTGCTGAAAATGTTTGAGTGTCTGGGAAATCTTGCGATATTTGTGGTTTTTGGATTTCGAGGAGATTCCTTTAGCCAAATGCCTCTCTTCTGCCCACGACGGCTTTATCCCCTCATTGCTGATCAATTTCGTTAATATACGTTTGTTAGTCCATCAAAATGGTTTGTCCTCAGCATCTCTCGCCTTCTTACGAGCGTTAGGATCTGTACTAGTCGGGATATTCGACTTGGAAAAGCGGAGTTCCTTTTCAAAAGATGATTTCATTGTTGCCTCCGGAGCTGCAAGCTGATACCCCTTTTCTTCGTCGGGCAACGAATGCATAGTAGTTCGACATGGGTGTCGTGGCATTTCTAGGCCGTCCTCGTCCAACTTCTCTTGCTTTATCTTTTCTGACCTTGGGAACCCCTCATCTTATCCGATTAAGGGTGGCGTCCTCCTACATTCCTGACAACTCATCCTGTTCTCCAACCTGATAACCTTGCTTTCCTGTCCTTCTCCGCTCTTCTACTTCCCGTTGAAACGAGCTTCGACGTTGATCAAAGTGCCGCTTCGTGGTAAGAGCCTCATTCGTTCCAGCTGTCTGCGATATCCTCTGTGGACCGTTTCGAGAAATCCCTGCCTTGATGTCGGCCATATCCTTTTTCGTTCACGAGATTGATATTGATATTCGGAGCTCCGACAGGTCCCGCATAGTGGTCTAGGCTCCGTGTAACTTACTTTCCTTCGAGCCACGGTGCCCAATCAACCTAATTGTTGCCCCTTCGGATATTCGACTTTCATTCACACATTGTTTAACCTCAGCTGAAAACTTGAGGTTTGGGCGCAAAAGTGATATTGAAACTGTTACCTGTTAATCCATGTTCGATGAAGAGAAAGTTGTTATGCAGGCTAGCCCGCATCTTTTAGATTCGTTTTATTCAATCATTGGATCCTCGCCTGTGTTATCTTCTTGCAATGTTTTCAAAGAATTATTCACCACTTGACATGATAGGCGTTTTAGGTTCGAGAAGCATGAGGTTCCCTAATCCTCACCTGCTGACATCCTCGTTCGTTCGTCTACATGAGGACGCGACGTGTATCACTCTATCTGTTTCTCTGGATAGCAATTCACTCAATCCTTCCTCCTGACAGTTTGATGTCTTGAAGTTTAAACGTACCCGCTTGGAAACCAAAATATCTTACACTATCTCATTTGATCCGCGGTTCAAGGATCTTCCACCCTCACAACTCAAACAACCTTTCCTTGCCCTAGTGCGCCCTTTCCAGCATGGAGACACCACAGTACCCATCCCTTTGATGGCAATGGACAGGGTACACGGTGGTATGGATTCAATATCCCCGGGTCCAAAGCGACTGGAGTGCTAGACATCACAGACCTTCGTGACGTGGCGAGACTCGTCTGGTCGAAATGGATTATGTATTCGATCATGGCAGACCATTATCCTGACAGATTTCAGATTAGCAAAATCCTTTCCATGCTAACTTTTAGGATGATATGTGTCCACCTTAACCTGTTTCAACCAATGCATGCATATTGCGGGAATCACGACGTTTGTTCGACGCCTCAATTCTCGGGCCCCCCAGAACCTGATTGTTGTAAAAAGCCTTTCGCCATCCGTTTCTCGTTTTACATATAGACCTGCCTGTATGTCTCCAAGTTGGGAGCCTTGCAATTTTCAGTTTCGCTAATACCGTTGAGGCAAATGTGAATGAGGAGTTGTATCAAAGCACAATGATAAGGCGACCATGAATTGGTAAGATAAGCGAATGGTCTTGTTGAGGACGGTCTGCCTCATTGACAGCTCCTTGACGCCAAATTTTGACATGCCCTAGTCTATTGTTGAATCACAGTCAGTAAACCTAACAAGGATCTGTTTCTTTACGTTTACGAGGTATTGGCGGCGTTGATAATCATACGGATGGAATAAGAGATAATTTTTTCCAACTACTACTCTTATCATAATCTGTGTCCAAGTCACAAATGAATTGGATTACCGAATATCACTTGGATGCATGCTCCATATACTTGTTGTGTTCATCTTCTGTTGATGAAATTTGAAATTGAAATTTCAACCTCAGATTAGTATCCACATGGCTGGGTCTAAACTACTCAGGTGATTTTAAGGAGCACAAATAAAGTCTTACTCTTGCATGTCAGCATGCAGCGGATGCAGATGCGGAGAACACATCTTGGTGTGTCCCCATAAATGTGGGTCCATACCTGTCGTACCTCTTGTATTATAACCCCCTTGTCCCTTAGTGAATTGGCAGCACAGCATCCCGTTGACCGACCCAGTGGATGCCCTGTACCAGCTTTGGTATGTCACCAGGGATCTGCCTTCCGGATTCCGATACACCCATTGGATGGTCAACTATAGAGTCTGGCGTCGAGCTCTGACGACTCTTCATTTGCGAAGGTACGGCTCTTCAGCTTCCGAGCTGACCTTGCACGATTCATGCGCGATGCTTGAACCGTCTATTATCGTCGTCGACTCCTGTCACTTTGGTCTTGCTCCCAATTGCTTTTTCTGTCGTTCCTTTCTAACCCAGTACTCAATTCATCCCTCGAACGGAATTGCCCCTAATCCAACCTCTATCCTTATTGGTGCCACATTGCGAAACCTAGGCCTTGGTTCCTTTTCGGTAGTTACCCCGCCTGTTTGCCATGTGGCATGAGTATTAACCAGTTTTTTCACCTGATTTTCCAATGTATCCTTCCATTGTCAGCATGGCATAGTTATCTGGTTAACTCCGCGGCCGTTATTTTTATTTTTCTTTCCTGGTTCTTCAGTGAACCCTGCGATGGATCTTCCTCTAGGATAGGTGTCAGCCTTTCACGAGCACTCTGATCCAAAGATCTAGGAAGGTCCATGCTGAGCAAATTTGGTCTAGTGCGTGACGGAATTGCATCGTGCAAAAATTCCTTGCCTTCTGTGACGTTAATTGTGCCCAATTTCATTCTACCAACCTCCCCGTTTCATTGTTTTTAATTCTGCTTCCTCTTCTCAATATCCTTCATCACCTCCGGCACCAATTGACGTGGCAGCCGCTATTATGCACTCTTTGGAAACTCTAATGGAATGTATGTTTCCTTTCCACAACTTGATAAGCGCATATGTGTGGCTGCAGGGTATATTTCCCCCCCCGCCGGGGTATCTTGTTGTCTTTCGCTTTGGTTTTGCCTTGCAATATAGTTTCTTGTGACATTACTGCCCAAGGTATACGCTCTATCCGTGGCATGGGTTCTCTCTCCTTCTGGCCTCCAAAATCCCCTCAATTTGGTAGGGTAGGTAGCTGTCATGACAAACAGATCTATAGCTTGGCCTGTTTCGTGTAGTTCCCCTATGATTTTGCAACGCGGCCGTGCCTTGCATCTCCTCCTACAGTTTACACTTTGGCGACTGACCAATCTCAACATGATGTACGTTCTCTCAACTGGGACACCCTAGTCCAAGTCAGTTCTTACATCGCCTAGTTCCAGTGCATAACCGGAAGAACTTTGACGCTTATAGCATGGAGAAGAGGTTTGTTTTCTGTATTCTTATCTCGTTCCGGTTTTTGTTTTTGAGTTTGAGGGGCATCGATATTACAGACTCGTCCCCTTGACCGCTAGTTAATTTCTATCTAACTTATTGGTTTCAATTAGCTTTAACCCTCTCACCTTTGCCCGCTTTCCAAAGCACACACTACCGCTCAACCCTTTCTCTTTCATTGCCCTGTCTCTCATCATTTTCCCGGGCACCACGCAAAATGCTGATCAATGATCTGTCATCGTTCTGGTGGCACAGTTTGCAGATATATTCAATTTTCTTTTAGCACAGACGTTAGTTTCTCGTCGGTTGTCTGGTCTTATTCTTGCTTTACTGTAGCTCTATTTCGACTGTGATAAAAAGATTCTAGCTTTTAGACAGCAGACTCAATTCAACACGTAGCCTGGATTTCTGCACCGTATGGTACGTTATCACCAACATTGAGAGATCGGGGCGGGTGATTTGGTTCCCTTTGAGTGGCCCCTTGTACTTGCGATATCGGTTCCATTACTATCTCATTCACCCTTTGGATTTTTCATTCGGATGGAAATATCTATACGATTTACTTGTACATTGCATTGGAAGATTGAAACCCCTGTCGAAAAGTTTCCATTCAATCCATGTCCAGATCGGAGACTCCGTTGTTTGTGTATGTCCGGCCCATGCCCTGTTGCGCACTACTCTGCATGAGCCCAATTTTGTATGATCGGAACATCCCTCTCCTCTATTGTTTTATTTCGAATGGGTTGTATAAAAATTCGGAATCATAGGCATTTTGGGCGGATATGGCGTGACAGCACCGACTACACTCCAGATAACGCCTCCGAAGAAATATGAAATTGCCAGTCCATGAGAAAAGGAAAGAGGCATATTCTGATCGCAGTAAGTATGCTAAAGCTGTCCAAACCCGTGACGTCATATGGTTTAGTAGCCAAGGGGAAGCCAACGCTTACTAAGCCCGAAATCCTAACTAACTAACTAGTTAGTTAACTAGTTAACTTATAACTGGTTAAACTACACATCTCGTGATCATCTCATCTCGCCTTGAGCTTCATCTTCATCTTTTTTCACAGCACCACAGCTTCTACAGTATTGGATAAGAGAAGAGTCTCTGGCCAGCTCATGTTCTCTTTCTGTCGAGAAATTTGACCAAGGGAATTGTTCATTTCAACTATCCTTCTATTCGCCATAGCAAACACCACCTATCGACGCAACGTCTAAAAGGGGCGCCAATGTCTTCATAAGGTCTCAGGCAACGGAACTTCTACATGCTTACTACTGCGGTATTCCATCTTACCATAGTGCCAACAGTCAGTTCTCTATTACTATTTGTGAACTGCTGCATGTTGTATTATGGCTCAGAAGTTTTGAGGTCTCCATAAATTGTGCGACCCGCTGATCACTTCTGCTTCACCAGATCTATCTGGCTTTCGCGTACCAAAGGAGAACATTACTAGAGGCATATTCACCCTTTTTTTAATCTAGTGAAAAAGCAAAAAAAAGAAGAAAAAAGAAGAAGAAAAAAAAAGCCCAAATCGTGGGTTAAAGGCAGATCAATAAACATACATTGTCCACTTACTTCTTTTTCATCTGTCATCTGCACAACATGTCTACTCTCCGCTACGCTTCGAACCGAGCCGGCCTCCAGGTTCTGTGGGTCCACCATAGCCTAGTCTACCGTCCTCCTCTACATTTAACCTTAGCTCCGTTGCAGATTCTCGGGGTCATTCCAACACCCACGACAGCAAAGGGTCTACAACGCACCTATGTGTTTGAAGCCCATAAGCCTAGTTACACCATGCCGTTCAACCTCGGCAGCCAGAGTGACCCTGACAGCCGTTATGCGATAAACACAGATCGGCACGAGTACTCCCAGTCCGGATCGGACAATGCTGTTGCGTCACAGCAGGCAGCGTGGGACCTCAACAACCGCACGCCGGAAAAGGTAAGGGAAGCTTCGCTGGCCGAAGCTATGCACGATGGGCACAGCAAGATGGGTCCCCTGGAAGTCAGTCCTGCGAACCGTGATGTCTCGCAATATACGAATGAAGCTGGCAGGGGTGAGTTCGTGGAGAAAGGGCCGAGTCGCAGGGTGTCACCACTTAAAGGGATAAAGGTCAATTTTAGCGGCGTGATCATTAACGAGAAAGGGGGGCCTTTGCTCAAGTGACCAAGTATAAGGGTGCCCCCCGGTATTCGTTGATTATTGGAGGTATTTGGCATCGTTTCCTTTTTCTCTTATAAAAGGTAATGGCGACAGTTGAAGCGCAAAATGATTTGAAATGAGGGGATGATTCGTCGTTGGGGTGGTGATGCCGGATTAGCACTGTTCTTTCTCCTCTTGATCGGTTTGATTTACCCGCGAAACCACTCGTTAAGAAACAGTATATAACTAGCAAAAAAGTTGGAAATCTCTTTTGCATACGAAGTACGACTGCTAATTTCGCTTCCATAGCCGTAATAATATTATTTAAAAAAAAAATAAATAAATAAATAAAAAAAACCGAAATATCATGCAACCGAATAACAATAAGAAACCGAAGATTTGTAACACCACCAAGGATCATCAACTACCGAAAGAATAACCATATCAATGACCGTAGGAATTAAGATATATCGAAACAATTGGCCCCAGGCCTGTGATGGTCAATAATTTAGAGTGATAATATCAACGCAGCCACCCAACCATACACCCACAGCTTCCTCACCCTCACGAAATATCGGGCTTCCACTCCGTCCGTCCAAGCCTGATAATATCCTTCCCATCCAACACAATAACACCTTGCTGCCCCTGCCCTCCCTCGCCTTTCCAAGCCTTAAGCCCAGCACTCACCGCCGCCCTCGCAATCTCTTCCGCATCCTGACACCACCAATCCTTCAACAACGGCTTATTAATCCACCCAGCAACCCCTGCAATCCCCCTCAACAGGCCCTCCGCCAACCTCGTCTCCGCCCTCTGCCCACCAATCAGCTGCGGCCGCAAAATCACCGTCCGCTCAAACCCAAGCGCCAAAATACTCTCCTCAATATCCCCCTTGAGCTTCAAGTAAGGGAAACTTGACGACACGTTCGCCCCCGCCGACGAGACGAGCACGTATACCTTCGCGCCTGCCTCCTTGGCGGCCCGGGCTAGCTCGACGTTCGCATCGTGCTCGATGGCACGTTGGGCGGCGAGGCCGCCGGCATTGGCGCGGGTGGTGGCGAGGGTTGAGAAGAAGATGTTAATTAGCGGGTGAGTGTCCGTTCGTAGGTGGGAGGTCCAGGTTGCGGGCGGGTCTTTCGAGGTGAAGGTGGAGAGTTTCGTGGGGTTGGATTTTGTGATGGATTCGGGAGGGAGGCGGCGGGCGAGGAATTCTATGTGGGCGATTGAAGAGTGGTGGAGGAGGGTGGTGAGGATGTGAGAGCCCTGAGGAGGATGAGAAGGCCGGGGGGGGAGGAGTTGTTAGCTTATATAACCTTGGAAGGCATTTGATTATTTATTTTAATTGGGTTGGTTGACCCCCGTTTTTTGCACTGGGATATGACGAAACAACTGTTATAGGGATTGTAGTGACGTACGACAAGGCCAGTCCCCCCGACAAGAGCTACTGAGGCCATTGTTGTTGCTGGGTGGTCCGAGTCGCAGCAGCAAGCTTAAACCGTAGGTGAAATGTATTTCCTGGTGTATCGATTGGTTTAAGGGACGAATATTAATTTGTTTTGGTGGGAGGTTTGGATAGTTATTTTACTGGCTGGCACTGTGATTAGTCATCTCCTCCGGATTGATTGTTGTGACTATAGCATTTCCTATCTGTTAATTCTGTAACTCTGATGGTAATTGAACATTTGGAAATACCTCTTCTGCAATTCGATGTATGTATCTGCAAATGACTCTGCTTAAATGAACGGACTAAACGGAAGATAAAGTAAGCACTCCCTCCATAATAAAGGGTTTTTTAGTTATTTACTTAAAATATAGTAGTCTACATAATAACACCCACAATATACACGCATAAAACCGATAGTCACATCTATATCAACCCGTATATATATCTGTATGTGCATAGACATCCATTCAAAAACCCTTGTTTAATAAACTCTGCAATCGCATAGAGCGTGCTAGTCAAACGTCCACCGACCTGATACGGCATCACAGACGCGTCGATAACTCGCACATTCTTCGTTCCATAAACTTTCAGCCTGCCGTCGACCACCCCACCCCGATCCCGCAGCATCATCGGTAAAGTGCCCAGTGGGTGTAGTGTTGGCAGTGCTGGGGATTAGAGAGAGCTGTTAGTTAGCGCGTACCACGGGATTTTTTATGGGAGAGCAAAAGAGAACGTACATGTATCGCGTATCCAATCTATCCACTGAGCGTCGGTCGCGTTGAGGGGTATGGTATTAAAAACCGGGAGCCAGCTCTTGCAAAACAGACCCGCTTGCTGGCTTCGTTGCCCAGAATTTCCGCACAGTCTTGCAATTTTCTATCGTCACTTCAAACCAAGTCGATAGGGAAATAGTTGGGATTGATTAGGGGGTGGTGGTCCAATGGATTTGCTGAGTTGATGTGAACGCTTCCCCATGTAAATGGGGAATACGACTGAAAACACCATTAAAGACTTTGAGGTTTGGGCGGCGCTCGGCTGGATAATGATACGCCTTTACAGAATCAAAACGACGATTTGAATCCCGGTCTAGCGTGTGCTGGTGTGCTGAGAATCCGCACAGTTTGCCTCCATTAACATCCTGGGTGGGGGGTTGTGCCGAGCTCCTGCCAGGTGTCTTTGGAGATTTGATAGAGCAAGTTGTTGGTCAGGAATGATGGGAAACCAACACGTAGGGTCCGGCTTTACCATGATACCCTTCGATGCATGACGCCCCCGCTGCATTCTGTTCAGGAGTTGGAGGGATGAACGTTTCATAATCTTCTTATAGTAAGGATACAGATTTTTCCAATTCAATCACTTGTTTCCGATTTGTTCCCATGCATCGATCTGGGCATTATCAGCTCTCACATACACCACGCCTGCAGGCTTTTGAGCATGGAGGATTTCTGGAAGGGCACAGACCCACGGGGAAGATATGGGGACGCACCGTTTATGGCGCTTGAACCACCCAGGGCCTTGCCAGAGTTGTGGATCATCTGTCTATATCGAAGGCGTGGCTGCAGAACGCTTTTGTATTGCCATCAATGATGTAGAAAAGGCGGCGGGGAATAGATTCGGGTCCGTGACGTTTGGATGATTCCGTTCATCCTTTCCTGCCTCAATGACAGCAACATATATACGATTCAGTTCTGAAAGGTGAGCCGCCACATCTAGCCCACATGTACCTCCTCCAATGACAACAAAATCAAACTAATGTTGGCATCGGCATCGGCGTCAGTGTCGGCAGCAGAAGTAGTAGCGCATACGGACAGACCCAAAGCGATGGCCAGCAAGAAAGCTGGGGATTTCGTCGAAACTGATCACGCGACGTCTCAGTGGCACCTCATTCAATTGGCTTGTAAAGGAGAACTGTGCGTGCCCACTCGGTGCCGCTGGCACTCCCTAAAAATATATTGCCAAAGTGTGTGAACATTGCGTTACTATGAAACAAGGAATATATTGCCGGCCTAGAGAAGTCCGCGGTCGAATTCAGAATTAAGCAACGGAAGGAGTGATCCGGAAAGTCAACCTCCACTATCAGGGGGATGATGTCAATGGAATAATAATGATGTCGTATTTGAAGCGGTATTGGTGGGACGGTTGACTAACTGTTGATAAAATGCCGATGACGGGTCTGGATAAAACGTCCGATGAGAGACATTCTGTATATCGGAGCAATTTTTAATTGCATCCAGAGAGTTTAAAACTAAGAATTTGAACAAGTGGAAATAGGGCTCAACCAGAAATGTCAATGATCAATAACGATGAACCGGGACGAGTCCTGAGGAAGCGCTGATGCCGTTAACTAGCTCAGCAGTGAACTGATTGTAACAATTATTAGAATTTCTTCCACGAATGAAGTTGGATAGTTCCATTTGACAATTGATGCCTTGCATCGAGAATCGATACTCCGATATAGTTATTAATTATACATGAATCGCTGCCCGGCGAGAATGAGGATGATAGATTTGCCCAATCCATAATTAACCCTGCGAAAAACCTTGCAAATGATATCAAACGTCAGTGATGGGCATGCTCTCCGTCATTCACAAGAGAGCTATTTGTATCATTAATCTGGAGTTTCCTTCTGATTTCTTTTCCTTTCTTTTCTTTTCTTTTCCCCAGGATTTGCATCGTCTGACTCAGGCAGCGGACTCAGTGCGGCACTCCGCAGAGCATGGGAATTATTGAATGACTCAGGAAAGCGAAAGATCTGGCACCCGCTTACTCCCTAATAATAAATATCTTCTCCGTACAACGGCATACCCGATGTAATTCGGGTTCTGGGGGTGGTTTGGCTTTTTGGTGGCCTTGGTTAGAGCAGAGAGATTTCTGCATGCACAATGCACAATGAGCGTAATAAGGATGCCTGGAATGAATCTGCGAATGAACTGAAATGCAGAGATACAATCGTTATTGTCAGGTCGATGCATAATTTTCCTTTCAACAGAAATGAATTTGGCAGGAAGATTTCAATCTCCACTTTATATGGAGAGATGATGCACGGAGGAGCATTTATTGATGTTGTTGAATGTTGTTAACAGATGTTGACGATGTTGAAGGATTATACGCTTTGCCCTTTCTGGTAGCCGAGCTCTCCCAAACAACCAAACATCGTGCCTTTCCTCTTTTGGTACATCATGACTAAGCCGCAAAACACGTCGACTGAGGGGAGCTGGAACAACCTCGGCCCGAAATCAGGCTTGGCGCTGAGCACGCAATTGAGAGCGCTTTTGCGCGATTCTCAAAACACCAACGCGGCAAGCAAACGAGAGCTGCCTGCCTGATTCGGCAGAATTGGGGGAAGACTGGGGGTAAGGACGAGGAAGTGGTGGACGAAGAGGAAGGAGCGAGGGTATGGAAAGAGAAAATTTGTCTTTGATAATAAAAATGTCCTCATCGCGCGGGTTTCGCCTTTTGCTTGTGTATTTATTCTCGCCTTTAGCTTCATATTTTACTCTTTTTATTCTCAAAAATCTGCTCTTATCTATTCTCATTTTACTCGCAGTGAGTTCAGCTGGCTTGGAACTGCTTGTTTTTGGGTTGTTTTTTTGATATCCCAAGGTTCTTATATAGCATATTTCCTTCCACCCCCCTTTTTCCGTGAACACCACCTGTTGATACACAGAGAACTCAAAGACCCATTCAGTCACAATGCGGTCAATTGAGACTCTCTCCGGGGGATCTTTCCAGGTCGAGGCTACCAGGAGCAGTTCTCAGCTTCAACGGCTACAACAGCAGCAGCAGCAGCAGCAGCAGCAGCAATATCCCTTGGCCATACCCGTGCACTTCTCAGATATCGGCGGCCCAACATACCTAACAGCTCAAACTCTGATTCAGCAGGTTGCTTATGCTCTGTCAGACAAGCTCTTCACCTACTCGCCAGAGACCTTCGATCTAGACACTGCTGTCAAGCAATGGGCTGCCCAGGGCCAGCAGAATACCTATGGCTACACCACTGCGGTTCAGCCCATGCAGACTCGTCAGGGTGCTGGTGCCATCGCTCTGGGCTATATCTTCTCCAAGGACTTCGATCTCAAGAAGCGGCACATCCCGCAGTCGATTCTGGCCTCATCTGCCACCTTGCAGTACCTCCGCCCGGCGTTGCAGCAGCTCTCTCTGCTCTACTCGGTCGCCAACCCATTTGTCGCCCATGTGGCTGCTGTGGACTATGCGGGCGGTGCTGTCTCGGGACTAGTGGCAGATTACACCACCTCCCTGGCTCTGGCCGAGGAATTGGGCCTGGGCTTAGTCTCTAGCTTCTCTGCCCACGAGTCTCAGCATATGGCCCTCTTCTCAACTCTGCTGGCTGATATCCTCCCAACAATCCATATCTACGACGGTATCAGAGTCGGCGGAGAGATCACTCGGGTCATCGATGTTCAGAATCGGTCAGGTCTCAGCAATATATATAAGAATGTGCTGAGGGAGGTGTCTGGTCCTGATCAGAAACATTTGGATGGTGAGGGCAAACTGTTGCGTTTGTTGAAGGCGTTCAATGCGGAATTGGGCACTGATTACAACCCCTTCGAATACCACGGGCATCCTGAAGCAACCTCTGTCTTGGTTTCCTTTGGCACCGTTGAGTCATCTTTGACTTCTCAGATTGCCACTTCTCTGGCCCAGAATGGTGCCCGTGTTGGTGTCGTTAATGTGCGAGTATATAGACCATTCGTCGAAGAAGCCTTCCTGAGTGCTTTGCCCAAGACCTCCAGAGTCGTTGGCGTTCTTGGCCAGGTCCACAGTGATTTGGCTGTCCAGGAAGATGGAATCCATTCCGCACTCTATGAGGATGTCCTCACCTCCTTAACGTTCGGAAGCGGGTTTCTGGCTTCCACCCGCCCGGAGTGTGTTGAGATCAAATACGCCCCTTCACATGCTTGGTCGCTAGTTAACACAGCTGCTGCTTTCCAGCAAATCGTGAAGGAGCCATTGCTGCAAAGGTCCCCGAATAGCTCGCAAAACCCCCTGCAACTCTTGGACCCCACGACCGTCCAGGAATATACATTTTGGGGCACTGATGACTCGGCATCGAACGCCGCTGCTATCGTGTTCGGCCAGGCCCTTGCGAAAGATTCATCCTACAATGTTACCACGAGCACAGTCCACGATAACCTTGTGCTGGGAGGAATCACCCGAACCGATATTCGAAAGTGTCCTAAGACAATTGATGCACCATATCCCGTCAACTCAGCTGACGTTGTTTATGTAGGTGACTTGAATCTTCTCTCAGAGCTCAACGTGCCAGCCAGCATCAAGGATTCCGGGAAGATCATTGTTAAAGCTCCTGGGTTGAAGGATGAGGATCTGGAGAAGAAACTTCCTCAGCCGTTTAGACTGGCAATAGCACAACGGGGAATCTCATTGTTCATTCTCGATCTACCTGTCTCCGAAGAAACTGGCTTCGAAACTACAGTCTTACAGGCAGCATTTTTGCGAGTTGCTCTTCCAAACCTTTATACCGTGGAAGCTAAAAAGTTAGTTTCGACCCTGGCAGGTGCGGAATCGTTCTCCAAGGCAACGGAAGCCTTGCAGACGGGACTCCGAAATGTCGATGTTCCCGAATCCTGGTCTTCTGTCGAGGAGGATTTAGGAAACGTTCCAAAATTTCCCACCGATATCCATACCACTAGCTTCATTCCATTTGACAAATCAGAGATTGAAGAACCTATTGTCTTGCGAGATTGGCAGGATGCTGCGAAAACTATGGTCTTCAAGGAGGCCTATGGAACCACAACTTCCCTCCGCCCTGACCTCGCGGCCAAGACCTTCACTATCCATGTCAGCGAGAATCGCCGTCTGACCCCCAAGACCTATGACAGGAACATCTTTCATATCGAATTCAATCTGGGCGATACCGGTCTAAAATACGACCTTGGAGAAGCCCTGGGCATTCACGCCCAAAACAATACCGCAGACGTGGACGAATTCATTAAATTCTACGGCCTGGACCCAGCCTCCGTCGTCGAAGTCCCCTCGCGCGAAGACCCGGACATCCTCGAATGCCGCACCATCTACCAGGCCCTTGTCCACAACATCGACATCTTCGGCCGCCCATCAAAACGCTTCTACGAATCCCTCGCCGCCTTTGCCTCCGACGAGAAAGAGCGCAAATACCTCCTAACCCTCGCCACTGCAGAAGGTGTTGACGAATTCAAACGCAGAGCAGAAATCGACACAGTCACCTTCGCAGACCTCCTTGTCGAATTTCCCTCCGCCCACCCTTCCTTCCCAGACCTCGTCCGCATTGTCTCCCCGATGAAGCGCCGTGAATACTCCATCGCCTCCTGCCAGCAGGTAACACCAAACTCCGTCGCCTTAATGATCGTCGTCGTCAACTGGGTCGATCCGTCTGGTCGCTGCCGCTACGGCCAAGCTTCACACTACCTCAGCGCCCTCAAGCCCGGCAACCCCGTGACCGTCAGCGTCAAAGCAAGTGTCATGAAACTGCCCCCTCAATCAACCCAACCCATCATCATGGCTGGCCTAGGAACCGGGCTAGCCCCCTTCCGTGCCTTCGTTCAGCACCGCGCCATGGAAAAGGCACAAGGGAAGCAAATCGGCTCTGTACTTCTATACATGGGCTCCCGACATCAGCGCGAAGAATATTGCTACGGCGAGGAGTGGGAGGCCTACCAGGCAGCGGGGGTGATTACGTTGCTGGGCCGCGCTTTCAGCCGCGATCAGCCGCAGAAGATTTATATCCAGGACCGCATGCGGGAAACACTACCGGAGATATCGCGCGCGTATATTCGCGAGCAGGGCGCCTTTTACCTGTGCGGGCCTACGTGGCCAGTGCCGGATGTTACGGAGGTGCTTGAGGAGGCGATTGTAGCGGAGGCGAGAAGGGCGGGGGGCAAAAAGGTGGATGCGAGGAGGGAGATTGAGCGGTTGAAGGATGAGATGAGGTTTGTTTTGGAGGTTTATTAAGGGGCGGATGGTTCTTAGAGTGCAGTTATATGCCATCAGTGAAATATATCCAGAATTTGTTCTTAGATTTTCTTTCTTTTCTTTTTGGCATGGACCATTGATTTATAAATGGTCTGTTTAATCTTTTATTAAATATAAATTGATTTTTGCTTCCTTGGTTTTCCTTTCATGAACTTCATGCACCTCTTTAATAATAGAAGCGGATTTGTATAATCCAAAACAATACGGCCAACTCGCTTCTTTTGTCATCCTAACTCCAAACCAAGATGTAAAACTCATGTAAGAATGGACTCTAACGAGCCCCGTATCCATGTATATATATTGCAAAGCGCGAATGCTAGAAACCATGCACACAGCTTCGTCTAAATAAGAACAGGATTCTCAGTTCCAACGTAATCAACAATCTATTTCAAAAAAACCCAATAAAATGAAAACAAGGTATATTCCTCCCCGTCCTCTTTCCCCCATTAACATTATAAATCCACCACTCAACCAATCTCCAACCCTTTCGTCTTCCCATACGCACCACCCCTCTCCCTCCTCAACTCCAGCGCACGCTTATACGGTGGCGCCGTAGGGGGCTGCACGGGATCGAGACTCACATATCCCGGGGGCAGCTCGTAGGACGCATCTGCATCCCATGAAGATAGGTCGCCGCAGGCTATGAAGGGTGGAATCCACCGTGTGGGATGAGGGGCTGTGGGGATGGTTGTTGAGGATGTGGATGTCGCTGCACCGCCGAACAGGGGATTGGAGAGGAGGTGCATGCCATGTCGTTCCTCTGATGTTGATGCTGGCTGTGAAGTTGGAGTTTTAACGTCATTGCCAGCACTAGTTACGGGAGGAATGAAACCCTCACAAACCACAAACGCCTCCAGACTGCTCGCCCGACTACTCCGCGGCTTCGCGACGGATACTCTTTCGAACACGGTCTTCAGCTGTGCGTAGATCAAATCTACATCGCGGCCACGGAAGATTTTGGCAACAAATTTGCCACCGGGACGTAGCACGCCTATCGCTAGGTTTAGCGCAGCGTAGAGGAGTTGGGATTGGATGTAGATGTCTAGATCGTGGAGGCCGGTTACGTCAGGGGCGCCGTCCGAGAGGACGAGGTCGACAGGGTGCGGGTGGTGGTGTGGCATATTTCTAGTGGTGGTAGAAGTGGTGAGATCGCTGGTAACGGCGTAGTCATCCGGATCGAGCGCTTTTAGAAGTAAGGGGATTGTAGAAGGGTGGGTGATGTCTGCTTTCAGAGTGGTAATGCCTTCAAGCGGAGTCATGGGCTGGAGGTCAATAGCGACGATTTTTACATTTTTGCGCGGTTTAAGGACCTGCTCTTCCTCTTTCCCTTCCTCTCCCTCAGCTTCCCACTTATGCTCGTCCCTTTTAGCATTTTCCAGCTTCGGCTCCTCACTGCATTCCCTCCGCCGCTTTTCCTCCCATGCGCGACGTCCAAAACTCTCGCCCTTGATCAGCACACGGCTTAGAACCTGACTCCAACTGCCTGGCGCAGCACACAGGTCGACTACGCGCGTCACGCTGTCTGGATCTGAGTGTGCGAAGAGGTCGAATTGCTCGTCTATCTGGATCAGCTTGAAGGCAGAGCGTGCGCGCCAGTTCTGCTCTTTGGCGAGCCTATAGTAGGCGTCTCGCTTGTCCTTGGAGGATTTTCCCATATTTAGTGCTTTACAGAAGGGAGGGTATTAGTGTATTCCTTGCTTGGCTACGTTACCTCATTTTCTGTCGTCGAGCGTCGGTGTTCGATGTGCGCAGTTTATATGTAAAAGACGCAATAGGTTGATTACATATATATATATATTTAATAGTTATATGTTGTTTTTTTGGGGGGGTGGGGAAAATGTCAACTACGGAACTTGGAGCTAAAGTTTTTTGCTTTTTGAGCTCAGGCATTGAACATTGACCACACCAACTAATTAAATGACCACCGCCATAAAATATAGAGACCAAACGGGTGAATGATAAGCGGTTATACTGGGTTGACTCTGGGGTTAGCTACACGATTTCCTCTTGGCTATAGCTATATACACACAAGAGTTTTGTCTGATATGGCTATAAAACGAGAGCGAGAGTCGCGGGATGCGTCGCTCAAGTCCAAAAAGCGCCAGCGAGATCAGGTTTCCGGACGCGAGACAGAAGTCGTTGGGATCGACGACCTTGACTGGAAAGAGGTCGCATTGCCAGACCGACTAGATGACGCAGAGGGATTTTTTGGCCTGGAGGAAATCGAGGGAGTTGACATCGTGCGACCGGCGGGACAGGGACAGATCAAGTTTAAGGTGAGAGAATCAGCGATTGTTTCTGGAATGCTGTGCACAATGTCTTGTGGGAATCTAGCTAATGTATCACATTTCCTGACTGTATAGGCGGCAAAAAATAAAGCGAAGAAAACTGACAGAAGCATATCGTCGAATGCGGAGGATGAGGCCGTGGAGTGGAGCAGATTCTCTGATTCTGCTGGACCGGGACAGGATGTAGAGGATGTAGACAGCGACGAGGGAAAGCAAATACAAAAAGACGAAACGACGGAGAAGAAGAAAGAGAAGAAAAGGCGTAAAGATCGAGCAGATGAGCCGAGAGAAAAGAAGAGACTGAAGCTGAAGGAAGCAAAAGGCAAGAATAACAAAAAACATGCTCCCAGTACAGACGTTCAACCAGGCATGTCGTTTGACGCCCTCAATGAAGAGGATGACCAGGAAGATGTTGATGTTTCAGCATGGGAGCCTCTGGGTATCTCCGCTGAGCTGCAGACAAGTCTTGCGAAGTTGAAGTTCGCAAAGCCAACCCCAATACAGTCTGCCTGTATACCAGAGATAGCTGCAGGCCACGATGTCGTTGGTAAAGCATCTACTGGCTCCGGAAAGACACTTGCATTTGGTATTCCTATTTTAGAATACCATTTGGAGAACAATCGTGATGAACCAATTCAAAGTACTGGTTCTGATTCTTCGAGAAAAAATCCTATTGCTCTGATCCTGTCACCCACGAGAGAACTAGCGCACCAAATATCAAAGCACCTCACGGCATTCATTAGCAATGCCCCAAACATCAATGCAAGAATTGCTTTGCTGACTGGTGGTCTCTCCGTTCAAAAACAACATCGTCTCCTCGCTAATGCGGACATCGTTATCGGAACGCCGGGGAGGCTCTGGGATGTTATTAGCAATGGGCAGGGCTTAATACGGAAGTTTCAAAGCATCAAATTCCTTGTGGTTGATGAAGCTGATCGGCTACTTAGTGAAGGGCATTTCAAGGAGGTGGAGGAGATATTGACTTCTCTTGATCGCAAGGAGATAAATGATGGAGTGGAAGAGCCTGATTCTGATTCCGAGAGTGAACGTGATAACACCAAGTCATTCCTGCGGCAAACGTTGGTTTTCTCTGCGACTTTCCACCGGAGCCTACAGCAGAAGCTGGCCGGAAAAAGTCGTTTCGTTGACGGGGGTCTACTTGACAACAAGCAGTCGATGGAGTATCTGCTCGAAAAGCTCAACTTCAGAGAAGAAAAGCCGAAATTCATTGACGTGAATCCCGTTTCTCAGATGGCCGAAAACATCAGGGAAGGTCTTGTAGAATGTCCGGCCATGGAAAAGGTAATAGAACCAATGTTCATATTCTATCCAGAACTACGCAATCGCACCTTTTGAGGAAACTATAACTTAACTCCACAAAACAGGATCTATACCTCTACACACTTATGCTCTATCACCTGAACCATCGTACATTAGTATTCACCAACTCCATTTCCGCCGTCCGTCGCCTAACCTCTTTCCTGCAAAACCTCAACCTCCCCGCTCTCTCCCTGCACTCCTCCATGGCCCAAAAAGCCCGCCTTCGCTCCGTCGAGCGCTTCTCCTCCCCATCCTCCATCCTCGTGGCAACCGATGTCGCCGCACGCGGCCTCGATATCAAAGGCATTGACCTAATCATCCACTACCACGTCCCCCGCACCGCAGATACATACGTCCATCGATCCGGCCGCACAGCCCGCGCCTCAGCCTCGGGAAAATCCATCCTCCTCTGCGCCCCCGAGGAAATCGTCGGTGTGGCGCGCTTAGCTGCTAAAGTCCACACCTCCAATCTGGTCACTTCGTCGAAGCGTCTGCCCTTGCCCTCTGTGGATTTGGACCGCCATGTGATTGCCCGTGTGCGTCCGCGCGTGGCCCTGGCTAAAAAAATTACGGAACATACACTTGCGAAGGAGAAGTTGTTGTCGGAGGATGACTGGCTGCGCTCCGCGGCGGAGGATCTGGGTGTTGATTATGATAGTGAAGAGTTTGCAGAGCAGGCTAAGGGAAAGGGCAGGGTGAGGGGCAGAGGAGGTGGGAGGGAGGCGAGGGAAAAGGTTGTGGGTAGTTTGACTAAGGCGGAGGTTGCAGGGCTTAGGGCGCAGCTGAAGGATTTATTGTCGAAGAGGGTTAATATGGGTGTTAGTGAGAGATATTTGACGGCCGGGAGAGTGGATATTGAGGCGTTGTTGGCGGGAGAGGGAAATAACGCGTTTTTGGGACAGGTTGGGGAGCTGGAATTTTAGAGACTTGGTTTCCCTTGTTCTACTGTGAGTAGTGCGTAGATATCTTGAATGGTCATGCTCATTGAAGCATTAAGTTTTGTTCTTGGATAGTGCGTTGGGGCATTATCTTCACTTTGTTTTACCCCCTGTTAGTGGACTCGCGTATCCAATCTTTCGGGGCCCCTGGGTGTGGAAGTAATCCTGACAGGAAAAGCGAAATTATACATAAACTGTATGGGATCGTTCCAAAGAGAAGTTATTTATGGTAAGTAACTTGCTATTCATTGTTGCCAGTGATGTCTCCAGTCATTCATACATTGAACGAAACCATGCTAAACTATCTCATATCCACCAGTAGGAAGAGATGAGATAAGGGGTTTTCATTTTGGCAGAGTTCCCTCACTAACTGCTCAAAGAAAACACCTTACAGAGAACTATGGACATAAACTAGAGTAGGTATATAAACCTCATCTTTTGATGATTCCTTATTTAATATGTTTCAGCCAACTATAACATCCTGACCCGAGAGATATAAGATAAGAGAAACTTTGAGACCCGATAATGCGCAATGGTAAGTGCTTGGAATAGGAAACGGATTAAGTGAGAGTATGAAGGAAGGGTTGCGGTGGAAAATTGGATGGCTGGTAGCGCCAGCTCGCATTCATGGGGGGAATAAGTTGTGAGACTTTCCTTGGAGAAACGGAGAGGGGAAAGAAGGTGTCCAACTGGGTAATAAAAGTAGCCTAACGTATGAAGAAGTAGGAAATCAAACATCTCGCCTTCACACATGAACGAATTAGCTATGAAGTCCATGTGACCAATTTTGACCCTATTTAAATGGTGTTGATTCTGACCAAGGAAGTCCAGGTTCCTCAGGACTTGGAGTATGCACTGCGTTCCTGTCTCCGAACGGGTTGTCCTCGTTATCTTCCTCCTCGTCAGTGTCCTCGTCTTCGCTCTGACTGTGTAATTCTCTTTGCTTTCCCTGAGGCATCGACAACCGCGGGTTGTAGTAAAGGTTATCAGGTTTAGCAGGCCGTGGAGGCCGTGGAGGCTTTATGGTGGCACCAAGAGTCAGTGCAGAAAGCTCATCGCTTGTACCCCTATTCGGATTCATAGCTTCTTCTAACCAAGCTTCGCTATCACTGTCACTATCGTCATCGACGCTCTTATCTAGAACTTCAAAGGTCATGAGGGCATTTATCAGTTCATCATTAGCGTGAATGAGACTGCCAAGGAAATCATCGCTGTTGACATGGTGGATGTATCTTAATATTTGCCGCCGCAGATCCTTGCACTTTTCAAACTGACTCATTACCTCCGGGTCCTCGCTTACGCGATGATGCTCGCGATTGACCAACTTCAGTGCATTCATGAAGTTTGTGCTTGCCATGGATGAGGATGCAATTGTTTGCAGAATTTCTGGCCGCTCTTTCTCTAAATTGAATGGCCTTCCGCGGTGAGATGTGTCCTCTGATGTCTTGGACAGGCTTGGCCGGCCTGTTTTGGAGAACCTCGACGATGTGGGGGATGATAATAGAGTGGCTGGGCCATTTCCAGCCGTAATAGATACAGAATGGCCTATAGGGGTGTCTGGCTGCAATTCTGTTTCTTTGAGAACTTTCGATTGTTGTTGCTTCATGGGTTTTTTCCGTTGGGGTAGCTGCCTGTGGAGGTTGGCAATTCGTTCCATGCCAGAAACCCCTTTGAAGGAGGAATACCACTGCAGGAACATTTGCCTGCATTTTTCTTTTACTTCTGGGTCTGAAACTGGATCTGTGGCGGCTACGCGGAGCCGCTCTAACAGTGGCTCATCTGTGAAACCTCGGAGATATCTTTCTCCTGCATTCTGGATGAGAAAGTCTAAAATTGTCAGAGCTCGTAGCTGTCGATGCACAGACCCATATTTCCTATAGCAGAGTTAGTATTAGCGGGAGAACTAGTTGACTGGGATTTAACATACAATTTTTTCCGCAGGGCTCGACTGGCCTCGTTCGGACCACTAGCTTGAAGCCGGATCACTTCGATCAGGTCTACAATTCCGCTAGAATCGTCAACTTCATACTGCTCACTGGTGAGTCTATCAATTTGAACAGTGATGGCCGAATACGGCTTTTTCTGTTTATAGCCGAAAAGCATGTTATTAGCTGCAAGGTGGTAGGAAGGAGAAATGGACACACGAGCGAGAAGGCACATAGAAAAATGGAAATATGGAGGATTGAAGCTCTATTCATACGTGGTAGATATGCATGACTGAGAAAATGAAAATAGACCCCATGGCAGGCAGATCCTTTAGAAGCGGCGTGGTATTACATTTATGGAAGGACATTTCCTCCGGGAGAAGTGAAAGAAGGCCTTCCTGTCACTGGGGCAAATAAGAACCGAAAGGGGAATTGGAAAGAAAGAGAGAACCTACGGATCCGGAGAACATGACGGGTTTGGTTAATGAAGGGGGTACGGGTTGAGGAGGGATGTCAATTCACTACCCGAGTTTGTCAGACACCTTAAGCAGGGTAATGTTTTAGTCTTAAAGGGCCTATGATGAGATAAAAACTCACAAGTAATCGCTAGCATATGTGGTTTTAAGCTAGAGGTCTGCAGAAGCGTAACACACTGCAGGGCTGATATGCAAGCAAAGCGGGAGCCTGAGCTAGACTTGAGCGGAGGAGGGAGGACGGGTGGGCTGTTCGTAGCGTAGTCTGATCGTCCTGTTCTGGTCCACTTGATAAAGAACAAACTGGAGACAGTACTCTGAAGAAACTGATCAATTTTAGTTGCACACACACAAAGAAATATTAGTGCAGGGGACAGGATTTTGGGCGCGGTTTTGGGAGTTGTCCAAGCCCAACGGAGTTGAACCCCGCATTTCACAATCAGCGGCCAACTAAAGAAACATACGTGTGGCGTCTGACGAACAAAACAGAAAGCGGACCAATGGATAGCATTTCCTGGAAAAACAAGTATGGACCCTTTGAATTCCTCGAAATCCGAGATATGTGTATACATCCAGCGGGCCGCGGTGTTTATCCTGATCGGGAAAAGATGAAGTTATCCCAGTCGTAATAATATGGATGAGTGGATATCCTGATCGGGTCTAGTGCGGGGAAGTGGTCCGAGATCTGCCAACACGTGATATTTTGTTAGCTCAGCAGACGAAATCAAGGAGGTAACTTGGAGATGTAGTTTTTAATCCAGTTAACTAGTTAATATATTCTTATATATTCGATATGTATTTTCGTCTATGAAGGATAAATCTTCCCAATTGAGAAAACCAAGCCCATCATCTAGATATATCTGTGTCCATTTTATTGTATCGATCTCCCTTCTCATCCTGGCAACCATTATTGCAGCAAGACTCGGACACCGTCTCTTTCTCAGGCATATATTCGGTTCCCCTCTATCCCTCCAACAACCTCCGGTAGTCAATATGTCCTACCAGCAAGAGCTCTACGTGGCAGAACTAGCAGTACAGAGAGCCACTTTGTTCACGCAGAAAGTATTCCGCGAAAAAACAAAAGGCACCCTATCCAAGGATGACAAGTCCCCTGTCACGAAGGGCGATTTTGGTGCACAGGCTTTGATTATCCAGGCTATTCGCAAGAATTTCCCAGACGATGAGATTGTTGCGGAGGAGGAAGCGACTGCCCTCAGAGGAGACAAGCCATTGAGCAATGAAATTTGGGGTCTGCTCAAAGATATTAGGCTAGCTGACGAGGAAAGTGAGAAGGTTCTTGGTGGACCATTGCAGAGTGAGGAGGCTATGCTGGACATCCTCGACCAGGGGAAAAGTGCTGGAGGACCACATGGGAGAATATGGGCTTTGGATCCCATCGACGGCACAAAGGGGTTTCTCCGTGGAGGCCAATATGCCGTTTGCCTCGGCTTGATTGTGGATGGGGACGTTAAAGTAGGAGTCATCGGTTGCCCCAATTTGCCAGTGTCTGACTCCGCGCCGATCCCCATAGACCTGAATGCTCAGCAAGGCGGCGAGGAGAGCGGGGTACTCTTTTCTGCAATACTTGGTAAGGGAGCCTCGAGCCGCCCCTTATCTGAAGGGAAATTGCAAAAGAGCAAATCTCTCTTGATGAAACCAGTGCCAGATATTACACAGGCTTCACTTTGTGAAAGTGTTGAGGAAGCGCATTCCGCACAAGGTGATACCGCTGCTGTGGCTAAGATGCTAGGGATCAGTGGCACACCTGTGCGGTTGGATTCGCAAGCTAAATACTGCTCCATCGCTCGAGGGGCTGGCGATATTTACCTTAGACTGCCCACGAGAAAGGATTATCAAGAGAAGATTTGGGACCATGCTGCGGGGGACTTGTTAGTCCGCGAGGCTAGAGGAATGACGACCGATATCCACGGCAACAGACTTAACTTTGGCAAAGGGAGAACGTTGGCTGACAACAAGGGGATCGTTGCCGCCCCGAAGGCTATCCATGACCAATTGCTTAACGCCGTGCAGAAAGTGCTGAAATTGAAATAAAGGATACCATGTAAATATATTTCTTCTTTTCAAGAGGATGGCAGACAAGCAGTTAAGCATTCAAGTGTAATGAAAACGAAGAAAATAAAAGAACAATGGCTATTTTACAGAGGTATGGAAAATGAAACCTAAAAGAAGTAGATATACAAAAACCACAGCAAAGATATGATGAAAGCAAGAGAGCCAAATCACTTGATCTTCTTCGCCTTCAATTTGATTGTCTCGCCGTTCACGAATATACCCTTTCCCTTGTAAGGCTCTGGTTTACGCCATGCTCGAATCTCCGCCGCAAACTGTGTCACAACCTGCTTGTTGGCTCCCTCTAGAAGGATGGTAGTGGGTTGAGGTGTGCTAGCTTTGACTCCCTGAGGGATGCCTAGCTCAATTGGATGCGCATATCCAACTTTCAGCGAGACGTACTGTTGGCCGGGATATTCTGGCTCAGGAATCGTAACGGCCTCGGGTTCGATCATTGCCCTAAATCCAACTCCAACAAAATTGACAATGCAAGTATGGCCCTCCGACACTCCTAGGATGTGGTTCTTCAAGTGTTGTCTTACGGTTCCTGTGGGCAAAAATGTTAGGGAAAGGCGGGCTGCCATGTAGAGAATGTTGGGAATAGTGAATAGATTCGCATACCCCACATAGCACGCTGACGTTTAATTTTGGGGTTTTGCACCTCAACGCTCGCTTTTCGAGATTTCGGGTCAAAATTGAGAGTCGAAAATGATGGCAGGGTCAATGTCAGGGAACCTAGAATAATTGCTGTCTCGTCAGTGAGTGTCCTGGATTGCCGCTGACTGGAAATATTGATTGCATACCTAAAGGCCCAGTAACCTCTACCGCGGTAGTTGGGATATCTTTCCCCGGTCGCACAGTTGAACTCTTAGCTACCGGAAGCTCGATAAAATTTAGCGAAACTTCAGATGGGATTGACAATGGCGCAGCGCCAATTCGCGATCGTGCTGCCGTTGAAGTCGAAAACTGCTTGGAGTTATTATGAGGGAGAGAGAAGTCGGGGAGAATGAAAGCTGGTAAGGAATTGGTCCTCATGGACTCCTTGAGGAGCTGCCTGTAGCAGCTCCTTGACATTGCCCAGTTCATCTTGTCGTTGCTGCACTGCCCATTATCGCAAATGCGGTCTATCCAAAGACGGGAATAAATGACTTCCACGTGACCTCAACATAACACGTGATATGTCGCGTTATATAAGCCAAAACCTAAATTCAACTTCAATTCGACGCGGTTCCCCCATGCCCGCGTCAATGTCGCAAGATTCTATCTCAAAACAACTCCCGTTGAAGATGTCTTGCTTAGTTGATTTCGGGATTCATAGCGACCTGATTTATTCTTACCATGGCTATTAACCATTGACCTTTTCATTCTGGACCCGGAATGTCCCTCTCATGATATATAGGCCTGATTAAACCAAAACAGCTTTCATCCAAGATCTGCTTATGAGGCGTTAATTGAGACTGTATTTCTATTTTACCCGATTTTTCTTTAATTGAGACCCGAATTTAATCATCTTTCGTAATTCCCTTTCTCTACCACTTCCCCTTGTTTTTTTTGTCTCTCTCGGGGCCAAGATGAGGCTCCAGATACCCGCTACTTGTGCTTTAAGCTTGATCGGTCTTTTTCTCTTTACAAAGGCCAATTCGCTGAGATCCTTGTCCTCAAGGAAAGGTAAGATAGCGGATCCAGCGTTCCTCGATGTATCACGTTAACTTATCGTTATCCAGACCCAAATTTCTCATCACTCGGTGCGGGCTATGATGAGGCTGATTTGCCGTCTTTACTTCATTCGCAAATTACCCAGTACAGTGAAGTGTTTTCTAGTGCTATTGAGCTTCTCAACTCCATGAAGTCGTCACCTTCCTGTAACCGGATGGCGGCAACTAACCTAATTTTGTCTTGTCAATCAATCCGTGGAGATGACGGTAATCAAAAGGAGGCTCTTTCTGACTCCCTGGATAATGTTAAGTCATTGTTTGCTGCTAGGCTTGCCGTCTGTGAACTTATCGGTGCTGGAGCGACGATTCCAGAACAATGTTCTCCAATTTTCACGTCTCGCAAAACGCATTTGCATCTAGAAGAGGAAAATATAATCCAACTCTCACAGCTGGAACCGTGTCTTAAATCTTTAGAATCTCGACCCCAGTGGTGGACGAGTTACAGTAACAGCAGGCAAAATGCAGCTGTCATGTGCCAGGCAGCACGAGCCGAGATTGAGCGTGAAGAGGAGCTAAAGCTGTATAAGAATCTGGCTGACCTCACCTCGATTCTAACTGACTCTCTCAACCACACACTTATATCAACAGCAATGGAGGCTTCTCGACAGAGGGTGTTTTTAGATATCGTGAAAGAAATGCAGGATAATCTCATGCAGGACCTGGAAAATGGATTTTTACGATATCGTGATATATCAGCAAGGGTTGTTGATGACCTTGAAGGGGTGCAAGAGCTAATGTCCCAAACGCGCTCTGATGCCTCCAGCGCGAATAAGGTTTGAAATATCATTACTGCGTCAATGATTCATCCCATTTCTCACTTGTCGTTAGGATCTCCATTCCACAACGAAAACATTACACGGACTGAAACGGATTCTCGATGAAATTCAGCTGGAAACGGAGAGAAGAGCCTCCCAGATGGCTGCGATTGAGAAGAAAAACCACCAGGAGAGTCTAGAGCTAGTTTCGTCATTGAGGCAATCTGTTGAGCTTTTAAGCAGTCAACATTTGCGACCAATATTGGAGGGGTTTGGCAATATTTTCTATTCAATGGTATACCTTTAGAGGTCCCCCTCTTTGCAATTTGCTAATTTAATTTCTAGCAAGCCGTGGAGGACCTTATGAGCTCAATGGAAGCCAGACATGACGGCTTGGATGCGGTAAGTCAGTTTGTATATGCTAACTGAACCGAAGTTAATGGAAACAGCGAATGAAGTCGCTCGAGCACATCTTTCAAGAGTTTGAACATACAACTCTGGCGCTACAACAAATCCAAATGCAGCAGATTCACGATCAAAACTTCTTCCAAAACGACTTAAGAATCTCTCAGGCGCTTCTAAACGACGTCGCGGCTTCAGCAGCAAACCTCCAGACCTCAATTGAGAGCTCCTATGCAGTTTTCCGTAAAATTACTAGTTTCAGCGGGCTAATCACTTCCATATCGTGGTGGATTTTGTCAGTGACGGTGTTTGTCACACTCCCGGTGTTTCATCTCAAGCTGGGTAGAATCTCACTTTTGAGTCTATGTAAGCATCCGGGCATTGTTTCATCAACAGATAACGAGGCTAAATAATATCCCAGTATGTGTTGTTGCATTGTATTCCTCGTGGGTTACCGGTTGGCTTCAAATCGTGAGACTCTCTTTTACTCCTGCAACCCCCCCACCGGCGGATGTCATTTACATTGTTTCCTTCAGCCTTGGGGCCGTCACTGGCGTTTGCTGTTTTCTTTACTTTGCGACAAGGCATCTTTTGCCGCGTATACGGTATGCCAGCCGGACTTCAAAGCCGGATCTAGCTTGATATCCACGAGTACCACCACAGGACAGGTCGCTGCTGGTCACTATGAGCTATCATACTTTGCGTATGCTGCAGACCATAGAGAACTCCATCCTCGGACCTGCTTTCACCCTTTGCTGTCCAAACACCTTTACCCTCTGACTATCACTCTTTTCCTACTACCGTTATGCAAATCCACGCAATCTAAATGTCTTTGCTACATTTTTTACAGCATTGCTATTTGCTTATTTCCCATTATAATTACTGATGCAGAGTAATTTGTTGAAGACATATATATGATACCATTTACTTTTTAAAGCTGTTGATATTGCTATGCATCTTACTATTTTCCCCCCTTGGTTTTCATAAATTTGCCCCCTCCCCCCTCTTCTGTTCTTTTAGACCGCAACACGATGCTACTGTTGTTTCAAGATTTAGAGCGTGTATTTATCGTGTTATCGTTGCTGCTTCCCGTGACATTTATCAGTACACTTATTTTGAACTCTTGTGTCCCATCACTCTTTTAGCACCGTTAGGGCTTGGGACCCACATGTCACACGCAACAAGAGAAATGCAGCTATACCAATCCAGAGCTGTCAATTTTGGGAATAAAAGTTTAGAATCTTTTATGAGGGTTATCAATTTTCTAATCTTGAGTTGTATCCAGACAGTAGACAACGGGAATGACATATCTGGTGTACAAGACAATAGTTACTGTCTATGTCCTCAGCAAGAGATGCGAATGCTGTTGCATACACCATCCCGAGGTCAATTATCCTGTTTAAAAACAGGGGAAAGCTTTCCACTAGCACCTTGGCCGTTAGACATTTAGCTCCAGTAGTTTTAATTCCATCTCCCAAGCTTGTTCCCGACGTAGACATCACGACCCACCGATGGCGGGAGGTGGAAAACAGCTATTCGGCTTTCTGAATATTTGGGTTGAAGGGTTGATAAGTACACTCCCTACGCGGCTAAATGACCCGCTAAAGTTAGCTAAATGTTTATGGCGTATTAACGCCAGGTCTGTCAGAATAGGGATATTCCCCCACAGGGGTATAGTGTTAATTCACCAGTTCTATTAGGATCACATATTTCTCCCTGTGTAGGGAGGGTTTCATAGCCTCCTCTTTTCATAATATCTTCATTACATATATGCTACCCCGCCCTATACATCCAAAAGATATCTATCATGAAAACAGAATTCCCACCCATGCCATGCTGCTACAGTTTACAAGCCCTGCCTGGGCGTTGCTGCTCAATCCATTTTTTCATCAGATCGGTCAACCTATCGATCTCTTGAAATGTGTTTTTAGAGTGCAGGCATACTCGCACCCGTTCAGTTCCCTTGGGTACGGTTGGGGGCATAATTGCACGGACTATTTGTCCCTTGCTCTGTAGGAAGCTTGCAAGCTCACGTGGCATTGCGGTTTGAAGCGAGAAGATAGGAGATCGACCTTGATGCTGCACTCTGATGAGGGTGGGGTCTTCAGGG